TTAAATCCAGTTGGCTTCTCATGGCTAAAAAGGAAAGGACTATAGAAAGACTAACGTCACAACTCTGTGCATTTGAACGAAACATTCTATCACAACCCTCAACGTCATCGTCTAACGAGAGTAACCAAGCTCTAGCAGTGAATGCTCCTTTTGAGAAAGGAAGGAATGAGAATATAAAGTTGTTTTAACTATGGACGTTCCATTTTTGTGTTTATGGACGTGCGGCCTCACGGACCGCTATCTTTACGGGCTGGTTTCTATTTTGATGAGTAAGTATTGTATATTTTTTTGTTTTTATCCCTTAGAAGAGTTACTAAATGTAAATAAAAGATGTAATTTTAATGAAAAATGTATTTATTTTAAACTAAATCTAACGATATAACAATCAAAAGCACTTTTGAGACTTTTTAGCTTGAGATCACTTTATATGTATAATTCCACAGGAAAATGACTTTTTTAGAAAGTTTAACTTCTTATACAATAAAATATAAAGAACAAAGAACATAAAAAACTTAACATAATCTTCTCAAAACTAAACATAAAAATTTCGACAAGGGCGCAACTTGGTCATATTTTATAGCATTATAGGCATATTGGCTGTTTACAGCCTACACAAGTGTGGGTCTTCTTTCGTTTTATCTTTGGTGGGCATAGTTTACACGTTTAGACACTATATCGTCGTAAAAGTCGTTTCGGCGTCATAAGTAATTTATTTAACAAATGAGGGTTTATAACTCGCCTTTGAATATGTGGAATCACCAGGGATCGTGCTAATTTCTTCAGATATTTACCTCTTTCTTCTAGTTCTTTGTCTTGGAGCTGATTGAATTAAGTGTAGGCATTAATTCCACACAAGTCCAGAACTTTTTGGCAAATCACCATAGGCCTTCTTGTTCGGCGACTGTTCGAATAAATTGATAATTTTTTGACTGTTTCATCTACCCTCCTTTTGGTATAATTATAGAAAAATATAATCTCGGGTTTCTTTGTATTCTCATCAATAGCATTATACGAAGCATAGATGATATCAAGAGCACAGCTTTATTCTTCTTTGGCACACGAGAACACATACTTTTGTCGTTCGTAAATCCGAATAAAGTTGAACCAATCTCTAGACATTTGTGCCCGAAATAAATTCGGTATTTCTCTTTTATTATTTTTCAGAGTCCCAGCGTACGTTAGGTTTCGCTTTTTGATATTTTAGTAAACAAAATGTAAAACAAACAGAATCACCGTCAGCGTCAATTTATAACACAAACGTGGACGCGCGGTCTCACAGACCGCACTCAAAATATAAAGCAAAATTACTCACGCAATATTCAGCCGGCGACGTAAACTTCACTCTCAACGGTTGTTTCGCCACTAAAACTGAAGCTACTGAGGCCGGCATACGCTTGGCATACACGGGAAGAGGGGGGCACAAGCATCACAAACTGCAAGCGGTCTGTGAGACCGCACGTCCATAGTTAAAGGTTAAGGTGTAGCGTATAATGCGCTACCTTCAAGGAACTCTAGGCTACGGAATAACATTCAAGAAGAACTACCAAAGAGGAATTCTGGATGCATACAGTGACTCTGACCATACAGGCGATGTCAAAGATGGTCGGTCAACCAGTGGCATCCTCTGTTTCTATGCTGGAGGAGCAATCTCCTGGGCTAGTAGAAAACAGTCGTCAGTGGCAATCTCTACGACTGAAGCCAAAATTGTCGCAGCAAGCGAAGCAGTACGCGAGATAGTATGGCTACAAAGGCTGTTTAATGAGATCACCGACCTAAAGGAGACAACAACTCTAAAAATTGATAATGACGCTGCTGTAAAATTGGCTCAAAATCCGGAACTGCAGCGGAGGACGAAACACATTGCTGTGAGACACTTTTATGTACGAGAACTAGTTGCAGAAGGAACAATACAGGTCCGGCACGTAGGGGCAAACCTTCAAAGTGCAGACATACTGACAAAGCCCCTCAGCAGAACGTCCATTATATCGATATTGGACCGAATTGGTTTGAGTTGTTTATAGTTTATCCTTTTTCATAGACTTAGCAAAAAGGAAGGATGTTGAGGTTGGTGTATCCATGTTTTTGTGTCACATATGAAAAAGGAAGAAGCTTGACATATAGGATAAAATAAAAGACTAGACGACTGATAATTGAATATTAGTTTTATTATAATGTAAATTTCTTTTATCTTAATAAATCAGACCTTGGGGAACTTTATTAAACAATGCAATACTACAACCCAGAAATGAACCTCTTGATTTTTGGAGTCTGAAAGATAGAACGGCAAGCTTGTTCTTAAATATCGTGTAAAAGTTATGGGTTTGACTTTTTATTGCAAATGCATCATAGTTTTTTCTTACATACATTAAATTTTCATAAATGTATTGCGATGACAGTGTTAAAATATTAATTTCTTTAAATTTTTCTTTACGGGTTTCTCTTGCCTTTAAATTGTATATGACGCGAACAGTTCTCTTTCGCAATATGAAAATACTTTCGATATTAGCAGCTGAGCCCCACAACAAAAGGCCATATAACATAACACTATGAAAGTAACCAAAGTAAACTAATCTTGCCGTTTCCACATCAGTTAAGTGTCTTATTTTTTTAACAGCGAAAGCTGCAGAGCTCAGTCTACTTGACAAGGCATCAATATGAGGATCCCATTGCAGACGAGAGTCTAAAGTAATACCCAGAAACTTTGTAGAATCTACTAACTCTACAGGCTGGTCATTTATTTTTATAATAGTATTAACCTGACTCACATTAGGTAGAGTAAACTTAACACATTTTGATTTACTGGAGTTAAGTTTTAAATTATTTACCGTAAACCAACAAAGAACTTCAGATGGAGCACAATTTACTTCGTCATAACAATCATTTCCTATTCTAGCTTTTAACACTAAAGAGGTGTCATCAGCAAATAGCACTATCTCACACAAATCTCTTGTAAAGTGAGGAAGGTCATTGATTTAAATAAGGAAAAGCAATGGGCCCAATATTGTACCCTGGGGCACGCCCATAGAAATGGGTGCTCTTGTAGACTCAGCTTCATTTATAACTACTGTCTGAATCCTAGCAGAAAGATCTGTATCAGACTTAGTGAAATATTTGATGCACCATAATACTTCATTTTATTTAACATTGTTTCACGGCTTACGCAGTCAAACGCCTTTGATAAGTCGCAAAAAATGCCAATAGCATCGTACTTACTCTCCCATTCACCAAAAATGTGTTTGAGATAACCAATATCGAATTCGATTCAATAGGGAAGATGCAATATTTTTATTTTTGTTTTCATTTTAAAGAATTCCATGTAGAATAAACCACAGATATATTAAAAAATTAAAACATTGTGATTTATCGGAAAAAATGCGGTTTTAAATTGACAATTTAAATTTTCGCGCGAAAACGAACCTATGGTTGCGATGACGTCACTCCTGTCTGTCACTGGCCGTAATTAAACTGGCTTTCGAAATATTTATTTGAAAAATTTAAAATGGACTATCCATCAACATCATGTGATCATAACAATACCACTAATATTCCGAAAAAAAGCCGTGTTGACTCATGTTTTGTGCCAATCTACTTCAACAAAGTCCCAAATTAATTGTTTTTGACTGGAACTTCTGACCCAAAACTGAAAAAAAAGTGGTTTCAAGCTGCGAAGAGAAATGACAATTATTCTCCAAAGACCATTATTCGATGCTGAGAAGATCACTTTGATGTAAGTCGGCGTATATACTTGTTATATGCTTAATTAATCTGCTTGTACGTAAAAACGCATTAGTAACCTACCTAATACTTACAAAACCTGTCTATAACATATTTTTAATTTTACAGTTGGAGAATGACGTCGAAAATTAGATAAAGTTTAAAATGTGTGGCACAATCTTCACATTGGCAGGACTGAACCAAGCTTTGCGTTTCATTTAAAATAACTGTAACACAATAACCTTCTTTACGTACTTTATGCTCCGGAGAACTCGACCTTTTACTGTACATAATTTTCCATCTCTTTTAATTTGGACATAGCCGGTTGCATTATCGCCGTAAGATTTGTAGAAGCCGCTGAATAAAATACGAAGTTTAACAACTACGATTTTTACATACCGTAGTAACTTAGTCCCTTTCATTTCTACACTTAAAAACTCTGCACTTTGGACAAAAAAGTTATAACCATGTCAACGCTAACTCTTGGTAAATTCCTGGAGTCTGCTTTGATAAACGCAACTTCCATTTTTATTAAATGTAAAAAAACGCAATAAATATTCCCATAAAATAATATTTACTTTAACAACCATAACCTCAAAGAAGTTTTCATAACAGGAGTGACGTCACTAAACGCTGATTGGTGTTTTAAAATACGTTCCGTTTCAAGTATTTTTAATTCGTAATAATTGTTAAAAAACAACATTATGTAAAATAAAAACGTTGCAGTGGCATTTCTTTTATATTTTTTTACCATTTTAATCATAAAATTTTCATAAATATTATATATGCATCTTCCCTATGCCAATAGTTTAACGAGAACTAAAAACCATTTTCGGACTCGTAAACTATTCGAATTCGATATTGGTTCGTGCTAAGGGTACAGTTCTCTTCCAGCTGGCCTATATTCGCTTAACTTCTTTGAGCGCTAGGGTGTTCCAGGTGCATCGAATGACTATTTAGATATAATTTCCATACATGGTAAAAAGTTGCACTAAGAACCGCAGCTTTAGCCGCACACTAATCAAATAATTGAAAGTACCAGTTAATAAAGCTGTATAGATTTAGTATCCTTTGTCTTTTCTACAGAGAATATTAGGTACACACAGCCACACATTGCATTGCATACTACCTTTGTTACTCTGAGCATACTACAGACGATTAAAATTTTTTAATACACTGCATTTTTGATCGTATGCTCAATTGGGTAAGGCTCAAAGTAGTTTGGATAATTTTGAATTTTTGACAGTTCTGATTTCTGAACTTCTGTCGCTCTCATACTGTAACATAAAAATTATTTGCTGGGAATATAAAAAATAATTTCATGCAAAAGTGTGTTCCTATTCAATATGAATTTAATTTAAAGATTTAAGTACAATCATGTGCAACTTTTGAAAGAAGATTAAGAAATGAACTTGTGTTATTAAAATATGATGTTGAGAACAGTGGTAAGGTTAACGCCAACCTTTATTCCTCTATTCAGGAGTCATAATAATGAGCACGATTATGATATGATTAAAACAAAGCCAGGGCAGGCCCCTGAAAATGGTTGGGAACGAGTAAAAAGGATGTATTCTCAGAAGTTAGTATTTAACTCTCGCCTTATATGCAAACAAATACAGATAACTGTTTTATCGTAGTTACAGTATTAAAACTTTGCTATGTTTTTGTAGTGAATTCGGCGAAGTATCAGCAGAGTTAACTAATGTTGTACATTCATCTCTGTGTGGGGCGTTTATTGGGGCTTGTTTTGGAGGGTTTGTCATATCAAAAGATTCTTATGTATACTTCTTAGAAAATAATCAGGCAACAATATTCAAATCTACTGGGGATGCAAAGGTAAGAAAGAAATAAAATAGTATTATAATTCATGCTCAAACATAAATAAATAATATTTATAATTTTCTTTAGATTTAAATAATATTTGTTAAAAAAATTGCATTTAGTTATAAACACACTTTTTTTCCATTACAGAAAAAATTACAAGATTATGTTATGATTGCATTTGCCAAGGGTGCCTATCAATGGGGATGGAGATTAGGAATGTTTACAGGAATGTTTAGGTAAATCACTATCAATTATAAAGAGTACATTTGTAGTTATACATCCCTGCAAACTACTTGAGCAACAGCTATATACAAGGAAGTCTGCACACTAGTAATATAACATAACATAAATATCTATTGGGCAAGTTTATTTATCTGTAGTTTTGGTCAAGAAGCGAGGCAGCACCCTAAATCTCTAAATTAGTGTACTAAATTTCAAATAGCTAAGGTAGTAGCACCAATGATAAGTAGGTGACTGATTGCTGAATTTGGTAAAACTGAGAGTCAATGGCTCGGTGTTGACATATTTAGTGATTGGTTGCCTGCTCTTGTTTTCATTGATCATTGGTTCTCATTGATCATTGTTGCCACTACCTTAATTTTAATATAATAGCTATATTTTTAATTATTTAAGCATGTAACTTTAGATGTTTCTAAAAAAATTTTACTAGAAAAAATAATTAGGGTCGCGGTAGCATAATGGTCAGTGCATCAACCTGGATAGCGGAGGGTGCGGGTCAGAGTGGATTTTTTCCTAGTAAAATTTTCTTTAGGTTTAAAAATTTGGTTGTGTTTGTTTCACTTCATGAAAGATAGAAGATAAAAAGAAGATTGAAAGGTAAAAGAAGAATTTAGATGTAAAAAAATTACAAAACTGACAAATTTGTCTTTTACAGTTTAATAGCTACAACAATGTCAGTTTATAGAGGTGAAACTGCCCTTGTGGAATATATAACTGCTGGTGCATTAACTGGAGCTCTTTATAAAGCAAACTTAGGATTAGCTGCAACATTAGTGGGGGCTGGACTTGGTAATATAATTTAATATGTTTGATTTTAAATTTCTTCGTTTCTTTATGGAGTTATTCAATAGTTCCAATCATCTTCATTGTGTTGTCTCCAGTATCCTTGGAATCTAAAATGGTTGGCATCATTAACCAATGTGAAATTAAAACAATGAATTAGCATTTTATGGGAACATATTATAATGCTTTACATAGTGCCCTCTCATTTTCCAAGAACAGATTTAATCTATATTTTTATTTGATGCTGGCACTTAACATGGCTATTCATATTTACTATTTGTGAACTAGACAAGAGTCTCTCCTTTTCAATCCCTAGAGATAATGATAAGGACAACCTGCTGTCAAATTACAAATAGCAAATACAAATCACAGCACAAGCCGAAACAGATGTAAAAGGATAAAGTATGTGTGTTTAGACTTGATCGAAAGTGATTATTTCTCCTTCAAAGGACATTGGGCAAAAATGTATGGACACTGCACCCACGTCCGCCACGGCTTAAACTACATTTGTTTGAAAGGCATTATAGTCAAGATCATCTGTGCCAAAGCGCATCAAATTCCATCCCGGGGGTCTTTAGTTATTTTAAGTTAAATATGTAGAAGTACTATAATGAGCGAACAAACAAGGGAATTAATTCAGTTAGTTCGACCCTACATAGGCTGCTCAGGAATCAGGGAGTACTTCATAAGGAGCAAGGGTGCCGCCTTATGTTATTCTGCCGCGCTAGAGTAAATTCAAAAATCCCCGCATGGGTTGGGTTTTTTTTAAACATTCTGTTCGTTATAGTAAATTGTCTTCTAAGTAAAACGGAGCGACCACAGATTACACAAACTTGTCCACGCTTCGGAGAACACATAATTCTAGTTTATCCATACTAATTGACAAAACCGATAATCGTGTTCCAATATCCAAAGCGTGTTAGATAAAAATCAATCAAGTAGCAGGGAGCGCACAATCACAACGAAGTAAGACGAGTCGACTATTTGCAACTGCAAGTCCTTCAGCATTCGTAAACCGTTTTGAAATGTCTCAGTAAGAGCAAGCGCAGGATGGTCGGCAGGCTTTGTCGTTCTGGTTATCTGGTTGTATAGTACGATATGGCATATTATTATGATTACTAATAATATAAAATGAAGGTATTATAAAATGAATTTATTCAGCTACTTAAATATGCCCATGTGTCATGTCTATTGACTACCAGGATATTTTTTACGGTGTCATATCTTTTGACTCCCAGGATATTTATTTTCGGTGTCATAATAAAAAAGGCTAGTTTTTCAGAGATCTATCGATTCATACTAATTACATTGTTGGCGGAGCTGGGTGCGTTTTGCCCATTGTCCTTTGAACTTAAATTCGCGGTTCTGTTAGTTCGAAGGAGAAATAATCACTTTCGATCAAGACTAAACACACGCTGTGATAGAATACCAGTAGAATTTACGATGTTTTTTTTATCTTAAAAAGTAATCACAATTTATCAATGCCAAGTTTTTTTTATATATTTTGGCATAAATGTAGCTTCCAATTTAAAAAGAAACTTCAAAAAGTTTATTTCTTGATGCTATTTATTAGCATTCCAGATCAAAAGATGTTATTTTCCGAAAATCCGACCAAATATTGCTATTTCCATTTTTAATTACTTAATTTTGTGCATTTTAATAGTAACAATAATAAATAAATAAACCCTAAAAATAAGTACACATACATCATCAAATCGGCATACTTTTTTTTATTTTATCAACATTTCATTAGCATGGAAATAGCCCCTTTCGTACAGATGCTCTTCAAATCTAAAGTAATGTTTATTATACCTGGAATGATACCTGGACCTAGGTGTTTTTTTTTACCTCAGATTGTTAAAACTTGTGTGAAATTAGACATGTCCGAAGTTTGTATATTTGAAACAAAACTGTTTTCGAATTTGAATTATGTTAGTGATTTTCATAAAAAATGAAATGTGTCATGATAAGAGATAGGTACAATTAAGACAATCGCCCCGTAGCCATTTATAGTAGTTATTTGAACCTTAGTGCATTTATCATGGATACTGTATTACTTAGTGTTTTTGCATGCCACATAACAGGCAGGTATTATTAGTGACACAATGCACGAGCCGCGAACCGCAGCGGATGGCGGGTGCGCAGATGTTATTTGGTATCGGCCAAAAAATATTAAATACGCCATGTGTTCGACAACGCACTGGCATCCACATAATCGCGTGGGTGAGCGGACGCCGCTATCGGGCGCGGCGCGTTGTTAACTTGTTCAGACTTGCACAGAAACCATGCACGACGCGCAAGTTTGCGCGATTTTGTGTGCTAAATTTTATTTACGAGATTGTTTGTCTGCGTGGATTGGGAAAAATGGACAACTCATTTCCGCAAGAGCATCCGCGCTTTCACGCGGCACCGCTCTTTCGCCATCCACTATGGTTCGCACGTTGTTCACCTTATCCTATCTAATGTTCACCTTAAATAAATTCTATCTAAACAAACTAAATAAGTAGGTAGTTGTATTTAAAAAAAATGGATGCGTGTAACTTATGTACGCGCGTGAGAAGTTATACTTCTTTAGCATCATTAAAAATATTTTTTAATTGCATGCAAATAATTAATAATTACAATAAAATAATAAAAGGACTGAAAAAGGATAGTTAACACAGTCAATTAAGTTCAGTTTTAATTTGAAAAATTAAATAAATATTCAAAATATTCAATTAAAATCACTACTGAATTTAAGTTATTAGTCCATATTATTATGTAATTAGCACTTGTAAGTAACTAAAACACGTTGTGTCTATATAGAAACTAGAAACATGTGGATAAATATTATAAATATGAAAACAGTGATCAGAGGCGACGAGCGTGCCAACATTGTTTTTGACAACGCGATCATCTTATGGAGCTCCGTGGATCGTTCAAAGTACCTTTCGAACAGATGTCTAATAATGGTGGATTATTAACGACTAAGTGGTTAATAATCCACCATTATTAGATGTAATTATTAGACACTAACATTCATAACGCGCCCGCGGCCAACTTCATGGTGTTACTATTGTGTTACAGTGATGCGCGCGCATCTCGAAATTTCACTCACATGATTTTATCAAAACGCGCCCGCGGCCAACTTCATGCTGTTACTTTTGGGTTACAGTGATGCGCGCGCATCTAAAAATTTCACTCTCATCATTTTTTCATAACGCGCCTAAAGAAGTATAACTTCAAAAATGTTTTTATCTTCTCCTTATTTTTATATTTCAGGAGCTGCCTTGAGTACAATTGCCGGATTAGCTATCTTAGGTATTTTAAAAGTAACAGGAGTTACAATGGATGATATCAGAAAAGCAATGACTAAAATTAAAGAAGCGAGGTAAACATTGCTTTTCAATCAGTTCATAATTCTTTTAAAATTATTTTGAATACATCTAGTAAATTGTATGTGACTTAAAATACCATCAGTTAACTAGTTTTTGGTCAATGATCAATCATCACTCAAGTGATCTAAGACTGAATTTTTGTCCACTATACCTACACCAGAATGTGACAAAACTGCAATGTACGCATATTTGTTAAACTGTTAATCCAAATGTCATCTTGAAGCTAAAGTATAGTATAATAAATAACCATGTGTTGATTCAAATAAATTTACTGTTTATTAACACAATAGGGTATTTGACAAGTTTTAGAAAACGATCTCACGTTATTGACTAATGTTTATGGAGTCCGTAAAAAGTGGATATTCATCATTCTGTTGTGTATTACAGTAAAAATAACATAATCAAAAACTCCATTTTCAAGTTGCCACGAAAACGTTTCTTTGGACAATATAGCGTTTCACTGGTGTGTGACGTCACATGACTGTTATTAAAACGTCAAACACTACAATGTAATGTCACTTTAACCGGAAGTTTACCTGCGTGTGACGTTAATCCGCCCGCCAATCCCAAGCGTTTTGGGTCACGTGACAATAGATAAGAAAACTATTATTTTTTTCGTGGGTTTTTAGTAAAATTATGAATATTTTTTCTGTAAAAATAGTATAAACCCCTGCGGTTATTCATTCTAAAGACAGATGTTAAAAATTGGCACTTTATTGTAAATACTGTCAAATACCCTATTAAATACATTTATTTTCTATGTTATAACTTACCATTCAGGTTCAGTTCAAATTGGTGTTTGCTAACAAGAACATTAGATAAACCTTATTTTGTTAAAAGTATGTGCATAGGACCAGTACCACATCTGAATTCATTCAATACAAGAAATGCAAATGTTAAATATAGCATACACAATGGTGTCAATTCTGGCGTGATACTCTACTTAAAACTAAATTAACAATAATTCTCTCCTTTTCATTCTGTATAGAGAATGACAAGGATGCACTGTTGTCTAATTTAAGTTTAGCTTTAGAGAATCATGCCAGAATCGACATAAATATGCTATTTAATACTATAATGTTTTTTTTTCTTATTAAAGTTGTGGTTCCAATATTAAGTTTTTGTTAAAATCATATTATTGTACAAATTATACAACATTAGAAAAATCATCCCAGCTGCATTTGCAGTACCTAAACATCTAAAAAACATGTAGTACCACATAGAAGAATGACTAACCATAAAAAAATGGATGGCTTAAAAATTTGTGTTTTCCTTATTTCAGACAAGACCAATTAAACCAAGCATTAGAAAAAGCTTCAGAAATTAAAAACGACGATCTCACCAGGCATCACGAGTCTCTAGTGACGCAGAAAGGAGAAATTAAAGTAGAATTAATAAAATAGTATGGATATTTCATTAATTTAATGTATTTTTAAAGTAGCAGATAAATAATATAATCGTTATGTTTTTCCACACTTTTTTTCTTTTGGTTTCCTGTAAATTATGCAGTGGTAAAATATAACTTTTATTTATTCTTATTTTAATATCCTTTAAGAAATATTTTTTTCTTTTTTCGATGGCATAATTTATAATTTGTTATATATAAAAAGTAAATAAATATTTCCAACTCTCACACCAATTAGCCTAGCCCCAAAGTAAGCACTGTAAGGCTTGTGATATGAGGTAACAGATTGAATACATATACTGTAGATATAAATAGAAATAAATAATGACTGGAGTACATAAATGCTCGTATTCATCACACAAACATCTGCCCCCACCGGATTCGAACCCGGGACCTCTCGAGTCGGCGACACCATGAAACCCGCCGTACAAACCACTCGGCCACGGAGGTCGTCAAATATAAGATAGTATCTCTTTATGTTGCTCTAACCCTGTACTGAATTTGTAGAAATCAGGAACATTTTAGTACACATCAAAATCATAAAGAGTGGACATCTCAACTGCGACAATTTAAAGAAGATTTTTTCCTTCCGTATTAGACGGACTATCAAGTAAAATGCAAAGTAAAAAAAATTGGGATAAATGACGTTAAAGGAAAACGACCAAGTAGTAAAACGTCTTGAAATGTATAAACGGCATTATAGCTATTATAACGGGATCATACGGGAACGGGTTTATTAACGGGATTGTTACCATGTACCTACCTTGTTTTTTATGAGTCTCAGATATTTCGGCACTGATGCAAGCGCCATGATCACGAAGTAACTGAAGTAATTGCGGGTAGATGTTATTGGCAGACATATCAGTCTACCCTCTGACGTCGTCTTTAACAGCGTTCGATACCCCTACACATACGTCACATTCTCACTATTACTACGTTAATAGCTAATAGTATAAGTATTAAATATTTAATAAGACAGGTAGGGAAATACACATTGAAAATTTTAAAAAATCAAAAAACCTGACTGCTTTAATATTACTTCAAATAAAAACTGAAAAGAAAAAAACAAGTCCAGTAGTCTATAATTATGTTAAGTAAAGAACAAAGCTACTTTAACAGGACCCATTAGATGTTCAAGGATGGATATTTTTTTTTCAATAATGGGTCTTGACTGTTAAAGTAGCTTTGTTCTTTATTTAACAGAATTATAGACTACTGGACTAGCTTTTTTCTTTTCAGTTTTTATTTGAACTAATATTTAAGCAGTCGGGTTTTTTGTTTTTTTAAATTTACCTTTTTTTTTCAAGTGTATTAATAGCGCTGCAAAGCTTCATATTCACTCCTACACTCTGATCAAACCCATCTAAGATGTTTTGGAGTCTGTCCCGATCAACAACAGCATCACTTCACAGTTTGTGTAGCTCTGTCATGTCACTCTTTAATTTAAGATTTCTATCCAAAATTTCTATGACTTCCCTTCATCATCATCATTTTCCCTGTTCAGTTGGTCACATAATTCCTTAGATGCCTTGAGTTCCCTCAAAGTCAGTTGAAGTTGAGTTTCCTCATGACGAGCCAAGGCCTTACGGGTTATCATATTGAAAACATTAATATTATTAAAAAGTAACAAACAAAAATATACTAATTATAAATTTAATCCTTAATTGTTTTGCTTTGAGGAATCGTTGACCTAACTGAACAAGGTCCCGCATAACCTTGTTCAGTTAGTAGATATGTATTGAAACTACAGTTTCTTACTAAATATTATAAGTATACTGCACACGTACAAGCTAATAAATTATTGAAAGCTCAGAGTTCAAATATAATGAAATATATAATAAAACTAGTAAAAATACCTTAAAATTTGATAACTGTCACAAGTTCATGAGCATAAATTGTCACAAAAACACTCACTTTACACAGTGTTTACATTATAAAATTTTATATTTATTATTTACTTAGTGAATGATCTTTGTTTTATTACTATTAGTAATAATTAATAAAACTAATAATATGACAATTTAAAATAAGCTATTTGCAACAGTGTTGCCAGAGGCGAAAAAAAACCTTGGTATTCTTATATATTACTACTTAAATATTACTTATAGAATATTATTTAACAGACTGATTTTTCAATCACTGGATAAAATATGTTCCTGTATAACAGTACATACGTATTATACGACGATCAAAGAAGGGTTGTGTTCATTGTCATACTTTTTTTTTATCTTTTTCAACGATCAGTAATTTATCCTAACTTTTTATTCATTCAGTTCAGACTTATTTTATCTGAAAATAAAGCTTATTACTAAATTAAATACTTCTAGTGAAATTTGAACCCTCCGCCTTCGGGATAAAAGAGCAGAGAAGAGAGAGCCTTGTTGTTGCTCTAACCTGTCTTCAAAACTATTTCACTTATTATACCGGCTAAAAAGATTAAGTTAAAGGACATCGACGAAATCCGCCCTAGCATGCCCAAAAGAATGTCCTTCACTATTATTTTTATATTATTTTTTTAACTTATTAGCAATTAATCATTGTAAACGGACAATCTGTTTAAGAAAATAAAAAATTAAAGTTCTGTTACTAGATACTACAGTCTGTTCATCCAACTTGGCACTCCTTTTTATTGAAAATACAGCATTAAAAATCAACTGATAACTAGATTCAATAGGTTTCAGTCTATAATAACGATTTATTTTAATAGTTTATTGGCATCGTTAATATTTTATTATTAAACGGGTGATTCTGTTTAAAAGTTGTGTCAAGATTGTTTACCTTAATGAATGCAATATAGGCGACCATAGGTATTTATCAACATAAAAATAGAACTAGGTACCTTAGTCAATAATAGTTATTACTAGTATTTATATTATATTTATAAAAAGATTATTGCTGAAATTATGTAAATATAGTTTATACTCCCATCCCATGTAATATCTGTTTATTTTTATGAAAATCATTTTGATAACCAGGTACATACCTAATTACCGATAGTAAAATATAGAAACAGGTAAATGGAAAGACTGAACATTTCATTTGAAAAGAAATCTATTATTACCTACTACAGGTAGGTATAGGTATCATAGGTGCCAACTGACAACACTCATAAATCAATATGAATATAAGCATTTATTATTTTTATTATTAATTGCATTTTTAATGCATATTATTTCAGTGCTTACATAGAGGTAAAAACTAAATCTATTCAGAATATATAAAGTGTACATCTTTTACGATTAAGTATAATAATTATAACCTCAAAATCTAATACATTCTGTAGTAGGCCACTGTTCCTCAGGTTGTCCGTATCTCAACAAATGCTTAATTAGAGTTTATGAAGGATTCCGAACACAACTAGCATTTTCTCATTGCTGGGCGTTATAGGGCATTCAATGTATGGGGAACGAGCAATGTCCTTTACCTTTACAATACAGTGAACTGTAGAACTGCGATTGCGTACGTTGCGACGATTCCCAAGAAATTAAATATCAACATTGCGTCCACGTTGAAGAAACCGTACAAACTGTAACAGGTGACTTCGATTCGATTTATCCGCAAAATGTTTAGAATTGCTTGTCCTTTTCTTGATGCAAATTAAAATTTTATGAGTTAGCTAATTGGGTGCAGCTCATTCCGAAGAATTAACATATAAGTTTTTACCAATACCTGAAGATTTAGTCCTCAAAGTTGTATTACAGAATACATCCACATCATTGACGCAAGAAAAAAAATCTTCACATTCTTTACAGAGCAAACTGAGTGTGTATATATTTTGAAAACAGCAAAATCATTAATAGAGTAAAAGCAATTTTGTTTTTTCATTATTAAAACCTTAGATTAAAACAAAAAGGGAAGATACAGTACGCTCATACTAGCAACAAATAAAATGTTATCCGACTCAACTACATAAACAACTCTCACATATGCACACGATTGTATACAGACAATATAAGACAGAACTGTACCACGGTAATATTATATACAGTATTATATCTTCATACAAACGGTCGGAAATGGTCGTGTATGACCCTAACCTGACAAAACAAGTACGTCGGTCTGATAGAGTGTGCAAGTTAGAGTCCTGCAGCCTTGGTGTGGTGAGTCGACAGTATAGATTCCTGAGCCCAAAATTGTATAACAAGGTAAATAGAGTTCTTGACATTTACAGGCTTTCTTCAAGAGAATGTAAAGCTTTGGTTGACAATTGTCAACTATATATAAAACTAAATATAGCCAATTGGCTATATACGCTTACTTATGAGCAGATAGAAGACTTTCTGAGTAGATAGTAACGGAGGATAACCTCAGCTTATTCCATTAACTCTGCACACCCACAATCACACACAAATCATTCATAATATTTATTGTTAGTTTGTTATATGTAAGGAACTCCAATGTACTCTCAGAGGTGGGCGATAATAGTTGCGACACAGTTTTTATAACTAATGCAATTATTATCGTACACATTTATTGTATTCACTATTTTTGTTCCAATAAAATATATTTCATTTCATTTTGGTATAGATTTACGTAACAAATAAAACTTATTATGCCATGTATATCGCTAAACTCAGTCCGAGCTGAGTTATAAAGGTTAGAAGAGAAAAAAATATTTCTTTGTTTTGCGCAGATGTTGGTCAAACCTTGTTATTTGAGTATGGACTAACGTAACAAACAAAACTTATTATGCCGTGTATATCGCTAAACTCAGTCTGAGCTGAGTTATAAAGAATAGAAAAAATTTTTTTTTTTCGGAGATGTTAATCAAACCTTGTTATTTTGGTAAAGATTAACGTAACAAACAAAACTTATTATGCCATGGACTTATTATCGCAAACTTATTATCGCTAAACTCAGTCCGAGCTGAGTATAAAGGTTGGAAGAGAAAAAAAAATCTTTTTTTCACAGATGTTGGTCAAACTTTGTTATTTGGGTATAGACGAATGTAACAAACAAAACTTATTATACCACGTATATCGCTTAACTCAGTCCGAGCTGAGTTATAAAGGTTAGAAGAGAAAAAAAAATCTTTTTTTTTGCGTAGATGTTGGTCAAACCTTATTA